CTTCTCGACCGGCTCACCAAATCGGCTCGTCTTTATACAGATAATATCCTATATCACTACACAACTTGAAGCGCTCTTATGCCTCGTGAAATTGTTTCTCCCCCAGTTTTGGCTAAAGCTAGCCATTTGATCTCGGAGATCGGTGGTTTTTTTATGTGAATAGTGCTTTCCCATGAATTTTCATACACGACTTCTCAATTTGTGAGCGAATTCAGGAGCAACGTAATGAACCAAGTCTTGGCTCGATCCTTCAACGTATAGGAAAAGCACCTTATCCGAAGTTGGTTCTCGGTAATGCCTTGTAGAGGAAAGGTATTGACATTGAGTAGAAGTCCCAGATGAAATTAAGCGCATCCTCTTGTGCGAGGTCATAGAACGAAAGAAGTTAGTTGAGATGGATGGTCTTGAGGTCATAGTTTCGGGCCGCCTCCCCGAGCACGAGGCATAAAGTGTTGTCTCTAATAATTGGTCGGGTAAAGTACCTCGTGTTCGGGGCGGTGGTGGTGGCAATTGCTCTCTTTGGTCCGCCATCGGTTCGGGTTCGAGTTGTGATTCGTCTATGTTAAGCTCAACGTAGAGGCCAATTAGTGGTGTCTCCTCTCGGGGTCCACGTTTTCGTCTACCTCGCATAAACACAAACAAACACTATACCCGTGAACGCACCAATGGAAAACAAGGTAAATCAAGATCAACAAACACGAATTATCTATAAAAAGCAAGATAAATCAAGAGAAACATGGAAAACAAGCAAGAATCACAAAAGTCAAGAGAAACACTTGAAAAAAGGACAATTAAGTAGCAACTTAGGTGTCCTACTTGCCTACTTCGACAATGGCGCCATTTTTTAGTAGTAATTTGTGGGGTAAGAGGTAACCGAACTACTCAACTCGGGTCGTTATCTAAGGAAGGCTATTCGGAGCTTGGTTCACTATTTAATCGTCTAAACCACAAACAGAGAAAATAAATCCTAAACATTATAATAGATTGGGTCTGAGTTGAATTAATACTAAGCAAGCAAATAATTACGAGCAATTGCAATCAACGAGAGAATAGCAAAATTAAACTGTCGGAGTCTCTATGCCATCGACACAATAAAAAGGAAAACTGTAACACCCCACCTTACTGTAAAATCAGAGTTGCGCAATAATTCGCAAAGTCTTTGAAAACTAAAACATTTTTACTTTGCGAAACTGATTTGGGGTGCTACCGTGAGAAATCGTTACTTAACTTTAGAAAACCGTTGTTTTAGTTTAATAAAACGTCCGGTTACTGAAAACTATATTTTCTTAAAAGTTCGTCAAAATATAATAGTTTCGTCAAAACTATCGAAACATTGTCAAAAGTCATCAAAATGATAAGCGGAAGCGTAAGTTATAAATATATTTATACAGTCCAAAAACATATATAAATGTCCTCGTCCCGTCATGCCCCGTCACGTCACGCACCCTGCCCGACATCCTGACCTGAAAAAC